CCACGCGGCGATGTGCAGATGGTGGTGTGCGGGTGGGGGGTGTCGGTGTTACCACGCGGCGATGTGCAGATGGTGGTGAGCGGCGGCGGGAGGTGCGCGTGCTGGTGCGGGTGCGAGGCGCACGGAGCCGCAGCCGGAGAGCAGCGCTGCGCCGTGCGGGTGCGCGCTCTCCACGCCGGCCCCGCCCCCCGCCAGCTGACACCCGTCACCGTGACCGCAGTATCTGCACAAACAATTATAAATACAAACATTAATATTAAAGTTTGTATGTAAAATCAAAAAAAGATATTGTACCAGAATGAAAAACCTATTTGAAAAAAAAAATTATCTCTCTGTCATGTTTGTTTTGGGTAATCTTCAAAACGGCTGGCCCGATTTTGACCGATCATTCTTTACGAACAAATTTTTAGTTACAAATATGAGATGACAAAGAGTAATTTTGAGAGGGGCAGAAAGATGTAGATATGTTGGAGAACTGACAAGAAGAAGTCGGCCTCGGTGAGGTACTGGAGGTAGTGTTGCGGGGAGGGGGCGAGGCCGACGTGTCCGCGCCACTCCGCGCACCAGTACTGCAGGAACGATGTCATGCGCTTCTCCATGCGCTCCAGGTTCTTCTCTGAAACATCGCACATTTTTTATCACTTCAATAGTTTTGGAACTTATACAGTGCACACAAACAGATCTTAATTCTTCATAACATAAATTATTTAATATGATACTTGAGATAAACGGTTAAAACATTTTGTGTATAAACTGAAAACTACATACATATAGACAAAATAATAAAAAATATATAAATATTAAACGAATCCAATTTAAATTATTCCTGAATTAGATTTTAATAGATAATATATAAATTTTTACAACAGTTTTTCATTTATTACCTGGATTAATGATATATCTGCCGACTTCAGCCTTGTTCACCAGATGTCCGTCAACAAAGTTTTTCTCATGTACTTTGTACAAGTAGTAGGTGAAGTGAATATTCTCCATACGACACACCGCCTGCGTCCTCACCGCACTCAACATCTCCCATGGAAACGTGTCCAGCAGCTAAATACATGTTAAATATAAATAAAATCCTTGCTAACATTATAAATATAATTGTTTAGATGAGTTTTAAAAGGTGTCTCCAGAAAGACTGCATGAATCTTGATAAATTTGTCTGGAAGAACACACAACCTACTAAATAAGTTTTATTCTAATTCAAAGTTTAAAAAATATAAAATAGAGAATAATTACCTCATCCACAATCAAAATAACCGGCCATCTCTTAGCCGTGTTCAGTGTTGCCCACTCCTCACTCTCCTTCACCTGCGTTGCCACTTGAGAGAATGCCTTGATTCCTGACACCAAGCTGACATGGTGGATCTCCTCGAAACATTTAGATAGACATTTCAAACATAACTCGTTTGGAAATTTAAATTGTTTACTGCAACTTTTGCAAATTAATTTGTTTATAACTCTCCTTATATCTTCAGTGTTGCCATGTTCTGTCAGAATTCTTCTTATACATGATTTTATATGATTGGACGGTAGAGAATGACAACTGTCTATTAAATTGTACAGCAGGGTTTTTTGTTTGGTCGTTAATTTTAGGAACCTGAGAAAAGAAAAAAAATCTTTAACAAATTTGAAGGATAAAAATCATTTCACATAAGAAACTTTAAAGCAACATTCTAATCTTGGTAAATAGTGTAGTTTTCCAACAGTGAAAGAATTTTTCCAATATGTTCAGTAGTTTTGTAGCCTATTCAATATGACAATCAAATCTTTCGCCTTTATAATTATACAAAAATTGTAAAACATACTAAAGAAAAAAAAATTAAAATAGCTACTATAACATTAGTGATTTACCCCCAATCAGCTATAGCATTGTCGACAAACTTGACCAGTCTGTCCCGCAGCTGAGTGTCCCGCAGCCTGCCAGTGAGCAGGGAGCTCCAGCCTCCCAGCCAGTCTCGCTCCATCACGTTTATCACGCCCTGACACAACGCAATGCAAACATTATCATTGCACAACCTTACAGTAATTGCAAGTGTTTGGATGGATGGATGTTTGTTTGAAGGTATCTCCAGAACAGCTGCATGGATCCTGCTGTAATTGGCATAGATGTAGAACATAGTCTGGGAGTATATGTAGAGTACTATTGGACTTTATAAATTCGCATGGATCTGGTCGCTGGCGACTGCTAATAATGTATATTTGTAACCTTCATTCTCAAATCAATGTCTTCCCGTTTGCTCCAGTAGTTCTGCACCAAGCGCTTCTTGTTGATGAACTGAGCCTTGCCAATTGTGTTATAGTTGTCTTCTAGCAGAGAATATAACTCTGTAAATAACGGCTTTTCTCCTTCTGGAAATTGCATATTTTACTTATTAAAACAATAACTAGGCTTAGTATCAAAGATACTTTCAACTTAAAGCAATTGAAAACCCTCATCTATTATTTAAAAGCAGATAAATACAATTATTAATTTATTTTAATACATTCAATAGCTATATTTGCTTTAAATAACTTGTTTGTTTACCTTTGTGTACATAAGCTGGTACATTAACAGTCAGAGGTCCAACATTATTCACATCAATGTAGTCATTTTTGAGCATTGTCATATAAAATGAACTTATTTCAGTTTTAAATTCCTTCTGCGGCTTTAAATTTTCATTTGGGTTGTATGCTGCTGTTAATTGTATTATTGTCCATTCTGAAATTATGATAAACATATATTGCATACTAGCTATATCCCCAGATTTTGAGTAATCTATTTCTATCCTAAATTTCATCCAGATCTCTGGAGTTACATGGCTAAATACAATCACATATCCATACATCCAAAAAAAGATTAACATATTGTATTACCTTTAGGAAGTTCTTTGAGTATTTTTAATAAATTTTCAGTATTATTGTGTGGTCCAAATCTCATGTACTGTTTGTAAAAGGGTACTTCATCACTTATTCTAAACTTATCCAAGACTTCTGTGGTTTGTTTGTCTTCTTTTGATAGAAAATCAAGAATTCCTTTCTCACTTTTTAACCTGGAAGTAAAAAAACAAATATGATGATTAATGATAATTAAAAATTATCTGCTTAATTTAATTAAGATGTAATTTTTTCCTCAAAATTATACTTACTAACTCTAAAGGTGCATAAAAATTCACATCTGGAATTATCTGCAGTCTAAACAGTTTGATTTTTATGAGTGTGATGTTAAAAATGTATAAAACCTACTTACTTGGGTTTGGCAATAATCATTTCATCTTTTGGCTTTATATAACATGCGATTTTGTGTGTCTTATTTTCTGAAAATAATAAATTCATAATAAGAGCATAGATATCTCAAAAGTTTAAAACATAATAAAAATTGTTAAATCTTAAAACTGACTGACTCAAAATTATATTTTGATTATAAAGTTCTAACGTTGGACATCAAAGTTCAGTAAAGTTCTACAAAACTGACAAATATATTAGTTACAATAATAATACACAGTGTTAACTCATATGAACAAATTCTTACCTGATGCCTTTATTTGTTCTTCTCTATACACGGCCAATGTCCTTACAGACGCAGACACGGCTTCACTAAGATAGAATGCACAATCCGCCTCTTTATTCTCAGCTAAATATTCCTCAGCATATAACTTCCTGCTGCCTGTGACAATAATAACCAATATATATGATAAATAAATAAAAACATACGCCAGTTAGTTATATTTAAAATTTACTCTTATTCAAACTTACTTTGGTAATTCGGCCCGCTTGGTGTTGACGGTATATTTTTCACATATTTATTAAGTACATTTTTGTAGAATGTTTCTGTAAATTCTATTTCATCAGTAAACACATCAAAATCTTCCATTATAACGATTATACCTAGAATTATTAAATCTTTGTCATAAAACTAATTATATTAAAAAGCAATGTTTACCATTGAATTTAAACATTTCAACGGTTTCAATGACATTGACATTTGAAAAATTTTCTTTTTAAATGGTAACAGTACACAAAAATTCAGCCAAACAAAAAATTGTATACCAAAATTTAAATTATATTAAGAATGTCTCATTTTTCACTATTCAAAAAATTCAAAAGTTCAACATTTGAAACATCACTTTTTTTTAAGACACAAAATTTAAGCTGGGTTATTTTTTAAAAACCTTATTAATTTGTCCCTAAGTGTACTATTTATAATAGTAGGGAACTGAAACTTTACCCGAATTCAGTTAAAAAATAAACAATTGTTTTTAATTTTGGTCACTTGCCTTGAAAGTCCTTGACTGAGGATGACACAGAAAACACCTTTAATATTGCTCCCCTATTGCATGTTACCCTGATAAGATAATAGCTTTTATTTTACCACGTCTTAATACTATCTCATGTATAGGAGATAAGCAAGAGTCAAATAGATTACATTTGAAAAAAATCATTCTGATTTTGATTTTTATTTGAAACCGTTATTTTGATTTAACATCAAGTCATCAAATGAAATAGAAAGACTATAATGATGTAATTAAAATGTCTATTTAATAATGCAAAGCATGCGCAAGCCATGAGTATGTTAATATGTTTATAATAGATACGTATATTAGACTAAAAACTTTCACATTATAGTTCTTCGACGAATGCGTATTAAATATTAAAGGTTCGTCCGAGGTAAAATGCATTAAGGAAAAGTGCATCTCCATTTTTTGGCCTTGCTAGTTAAATATCGTAGAAAATTTTAAATGAAAAAATTATTTATACAAAATTTTATAATTTACTGTTGTGATCCGATTTTAAATAATCGTTTTCGCATCTTTGACAAAATAAACTTCCGTAATTGAGATGGATAGAATTAGTCAAAACCTGGGTTAAAATAGTTGTTTGCTCCTAAGCTGTTAGATGTAAAAGTGTAGATTCATTTTTGTAGCGTGAAACATATTTTACTTAACCTCAGTGTTTAAAGTACGTCATAAAAGTGCTTGTTCAGCCGTTGGAATGTTTAAAGTATGTTGATTATTCAAAATAATGCAAATTAACGAAGTGTTTGGTTGTTGACAAAATCTTGATAAGATATACCTCAAAACTAGGCGTTACACTGCTCTTCATTGCAAACAGTAGATGTAAAGTTTATTGAACTTTTTACTTACAATCCGAAGAAATACTACGCTTTTTATAGAAATACGAGCAATGCGAACTTTACATTACTCACAGTACCGTTAATTGTAGCAATTAAGCTCATTTTTGAGCTAAAATGTCGAATAACTGTTACGATTGATTATTCTGATCAATTTAGAAATCGTAGACGACTTTTCATACAAATATTCCAAGTTGTTTAACTTTACTCTACATAACTGATGACGTAGTAAGTGTCTAATTATATTATTATAAGATATAAAATGTTAAATGTTATGTTAATTTAAACAGTGGTTGAGGCCTAAGCGTTTCGTTTACTTTCGCGCCAACTCTCATGTCATTAATATGCTATAGACATCAAGTTTTTTTCATGACGTCGAAACACATCTGTCCAAATGCTACCGAATAACATCATCGCGACCATGATTAGTGACTATAGAGAACGAGACCTTTTAATTATTTTAGCTTTTAACTAAACAGAAATATTATATTTCGTATTAAATGTTCTAATAATAAACATTCGAATATTTATAACTGCGCAGTTATATGCAAATCAGTATCAACGGACAGGTGTTAAGATATAAAAAGGAATTACATAAGCTTCGACAGATCGCAGATTATGCGCGGAAACAAACACAAGCACACGGTATTGTGTATGTTATGTACAGTTATACGTTCGTACGTTTGCGATGATAATGTCTACATCTCCATCTGTGCGTCCTTATTAACTGACCAGTCGATAGATTGTTGTTTTTAATCTCATTGCGCGCTGTGCACCTTGTAGGTGCAATCTTGCATTCTAATAAGTATTTGTCGCATTCTTTGTGCGAGCAAACCTTGCCTATTGTTGCATTGCGACTCACCAACTATTGTTCTATTTCTTTAATCCTTATTTGTACCCTACTAAGTTTAAATGATATATCGAGTTTACTAATTAATTCGAGGCTTTGGTGATTTATATGCAATATGACAGGAATTGATTTTTTCTTTTTTTGTATTATGAATTAGATAATAAAAGTTCAATAGGGGTAAGAACAAAAACACAAGGTCAATAGATATCAGCTAACATGTTGTTCACCGTCTCCTGTAATCCGAGGCAAGGTGTGCGACATAACAGGTTTCATTGCAGTGTCAAGGATACCAAGCAAAACAAATTGATATGAAAACAAACATTGATAAATACGAATACTTTGGAAAAGTTGGATGTCTGATTTGAACCTGCGATTGCATTTGCTTCACTACTAAACCATTACAGGCGACTTCACAGTTTGATACTGATTACTGATATATTAATGGTTAGATATAAAAGGAAAATTAATGTCCCATAACATTTTTCCATTTATTTGTAACAGTGAGAGAGTTCTAAAACGGATTGTTTTTAATTTACTATTATATTTCTGTGGGAAAAAGCACGACAATGGTCACCTAGCGCGAGACAAATCCAAAAGAATGTTTTTTATGGAATTGTCTACATGAATAAGCTTCAGAAAGTATCAGCGTTGAACAAATGTTTTTTTATCAGTTATGCACCGTCAGTGAGCTTGGACCACGTGGGAAATTATAAAAATTGCGTGTTGCCAAGGTTTAGGTAATGTCTTGGTTATGGCAGACGGTCGACATTGTGCGGGTTTCACATCTGTTATAATCGCATTATAAAAATCTTTTGCTAAAGGAATTTATGCAATAAATCCAGTTGTAAATATTACAAGAAAAATAATTACTTAATACTATTGAGCAAAATGATTAGTCGTTTTTTTCTTTGGATATTTTTTAATGTGAACAGGTGTCTTATTGCAGATTACACTTGCCTATTTTAGGTTTCTGGCAGTACGTAGGTACCTATAGCATAGCAACTTGTATACAGCGAAAAAATCTAATTGTCAACCATAAAATAAAATTATTTTAAGCAATTTTATGACTTAACTCTGTTTATCAGGGTTACAATTTAATTAACGTAGTATTTGAAAATTCTTTCCTTTACGAATATATAAAGAATAAAGTTACATATAAGTAATATGAAACGGCGATTTATCGTAATACTAAGCTTCTTGGCTCGTGGCTGAGTTCGTTGGAGCCGTGACCTGCTAATTGGCTTAAAAATATCGCAACACTTCCTAAGAGCTGTTGAAAATTACATATTCGAACATCTCGTCTCTATTACTATCCTTCGCTTATTGTTACTAGACATATGAATAATATTTTAACATATTCTATTAAGATATCGGTTGCGGAATTATTTACAGTAAATAAGAAATTTTTTCCAGAAAATTTATGAAATGAAAAATGAAATTTAAAGTATACTAGAATAATAAAACGCAAACTATTTTCAACTTTTTTTATTTGTAATAAACATAAACAATGTGCAAATCAGTAAACGGTCAATTTGCCACATTTCAAAGTTCATCGGCAACAATTCATACTATAGGAACAGTAAACTTCCCGCCAAAACTGTTGCATTGTAGTCAACAGATTGCACATAAGAAAGATAATAATTGCCTATGGAAATGTTTTTCTTAACTTTAAGCATATTTTGTGGCACTGAAACACCGTTTAGGATACAAAATTGTATACACTACATTTTTCTAGATATTGTGCAGTGTATAAGGCACAAAATGTATACATAAAAAGTGGTAAATTTGTTTACATCCACTACAATAAAATACTAAACTTGTAAAAAACGTTAAAGTGACAAAAAATAGCTAGCAAAGGTTAAATAAATACTTAATGGTATTTACGTAAGCTGTCAGGATATAAATTAATTTGGGATGGACACAATACTGATAAGTATATAAAAAGCTAGACAGGCTACCAAACGTAAGCTCTAAAAACAAAAGGCTTAGTACAGAATATCACCTTAGTATTACTATTAACATATCTTAAGTTATAACACAAAAATAAACTATTCGAAAGAAGTAACATGTTTACAAATAGCTCTACTCTCGATAAATGGAAGCTACCATAGACAATGTTTTATTAACACGTAATAAAAGCTTCTATATGAGGTTTAGTATTTTCGAGTTAAGTTAAAACACTGACACTAAGTTGTAAAGTTACTTATATACGTATCAAAATCCTAATCGTTCACTTTGGAAAGGCGATCGTCGGATATGACTTGAAGGCACAAAATTATTTTGATAAATAATACACAAGATACCCCAACAACCATGCAAAATGCTAAAACGAATTTATTTCGCTCTACTGTACCAACTATATCTCACCAAGCACCAACATGCCTACCTTATATAATTCACTAGAATAAATCTAAATCATTTTCAGTTAAACATCTGAACAATAAAACTTTTATTGTATATCTTTTATTGCCATTATAGTCAACAGTTTGTTAACATTGAACTGATATACATAAATAGATATGTAGGCATACTTCACTTGTTTCACCTATCTGCAAAAGCCATCAGTCATTGCTGGATGACAATTGTTATGCATGCTAAACATTCTTATCTTATTTACAATCCAAAGAGAATTGAGAAAAAAACCAAGGCCGTTTAACCTATCACAAAGGTAAATCCATTTTACAACAGGCAATAGCCTAAATAAATAAATGTAAACTTCATTGATAATTCCACATGAAGGAATTAAATAGTTGTTCTTTTATGCAGTTTACCGTTACATTTATTCAAGTGTATACGCACATCTTCGCTCAAATGATCACACAACGAGACAGGGTTGCCTCAACAGTTCTAAAAGTTAAAATACATTAAAGTGCATGCTACTTTACAAATATTACAAAGTTAGAAATTTCATTTGAAATTCAGAATAAATAATGTAATGTAATAAATATTCAAAACATAACTATGTACATCCCACAAAATATTTTTAGTATTATTTTAACAGATTTTTTGTTTAACTTTTAAGTTAAATCTTTAAAAAATTTAAAGGCTTAATTAACCATTTCATTTTAAATAAAAATAACATTATGGTGTAAAAAAAATTGGAAAAAATTGTCTATATAAAACTTTCTGAAGGTGTCAACCCTATATGCCAATACACTTGATAATGCACATCATGATTGCAATTATATTAATTAATTCTCCAAGTCACTGGTATCGTTCCTCCTCCGTTATAAGTATTAGGGGCTAGTTGATAGCTGGGTTAAATATTTCATTTAATAACTACAAAAAAAAAATTACGATCACATATAGAAGAGTTTCAAAACTAAGTTGTGGCACTCAGAAATATGGAAATGCAAATTTCACGGCTGAGTGTCATCAAGATGAATTATTTATGCCTACCCGTTTACTGAATGGTGTGGCATCAAGTGTCCTTTCATTCAACTTGTCCTCTTCACGGAAATGGATCCTTGTGATGACAATGTCACCTGTGCTCAATGTTTGTGATCCAATCTCTGTCTTCTTTGTTTCATTAACATTATTGCACTGTGCATCTTCAAGAGTTGAATTATGGCATCTGCAGCAACAATTCTTTCTGTCCCCATCACCTATGTTTAGAATTTGGCTCAAGTTTGACCAATCTTTGTTTTTAAGTAAAGGCAGTGTCTGTTCCATTGTTTGTGAAAACTTATCTTCCAACTCCCCGCTGAGTGGTGCAACAGCTGATAAAATAGCTTCTAAACGATTAATTTTCTCTACCTTATCCATATTGGTATCTGATAAAATCTCATCCATCATTTGCATTGACTCAGTGAGGCTAGGAGGTTGTGTTGAATGTGGGGAAGAAATGGAATCAGAAGGATTTGATTCTAAGCTAGCCATCTCATTTTCTCTTTCATCATCTTCTGAATCACTGTCCTTTTCATGACCAATGGCTTCCAATTTTTCCAATTTCTTGGAAATTTTATGACAACCTTTTAATTTTTCCTTCTCTTCTTCTGTGAGTTCTAAGTATCTTAATAATCTTATTTCTCTATTGCTTAGCACTATATTCTTTGTGGACTCTGCCAGTTTATGCTTCAGTTCACCAACTTCTGTGTTTATCTTTCTCTGACGTTTGCGTAATTTTACCTCAGTAGGTTGTATATGCATAAACACTTGCTCATTACTTAGCTCTTCAAAGAGCTGTTGGTTTTCTGGTCTAATATTAGCAGACATGTATGCATAAATTGCAGGATTAATTAATGACAAAACGTCAGAAGCAGCATAAATTATCATATCTTTTGTTAAAGGCCGTCTGGCCCAGTAACGTTGGTCTCTACGATAAACATTCTTGAGCTGTTCCTTCATAGGGTTCATAGGGGCATTGTATAATTCACAGAGTGCATTCAGACTGAGATTTTTTACTTTGTAAACAGGTATATTCTGCTGCTGCAATTGCAGGACAGCATGGGCCGCTTGTGTATCAAAAACATTCTTCAAAGTGATCTCTAACTGATTGTGTAAATTGACTGAGTCATTTCTGCAGTCATGTATGATCTTTGTTACACTGTCACTTTCCAGCAATTCTTTAATTTTGCCTTCAACAACCATTCCAGGGCAAGCCATTATGTCCAATATGTACACTTCACCATTCATAGTAGCAATTTGACACATAGTCAAGACACCTTTAATACCCAAATTGATTCCTTCACAATCAAAGGAAACTATACTTTTTGTGTGTCGCTTAGGGTTCATTATGCTATCAATGAGTGTGGCACACTCTCTGACATTAGCTATAACAGTTGCAGACTGAAGAACTCTTTGCCTCCATGCTTCTCCCACCATATTATTTCTAATAGATGTACCATTTGTTTCTTCAGGACTGCGAGTATTCAAATGATTGTTGACTCTGTCTCTGACCATATTTTCTGCTAAATTTTTAATAACAATAGAATTGATCCGCTGCTTCAAGGTTTGATTAGCTATATTAGCTTGTGGACCTCGGGGAGATTCTACAGGACTGAGTATTCTGTTTGCTGGGCTCTGTTTGCCATCTGAAGGAGTGGGACTTGCCACAACAGGTGGAGCAGGCGACATCGCTTTCTCCTCCACAATAGGCTTTGGTGGATCAGTCTTTGTTTTTGATTTTGCATTAAGATACATGACAGGTATTTTTGGTTTACTTATAAGTGTGACAAGATTTGACTGAACATGGAAGCTATCAGAGAATATTTTCAAGAAAGCACTTAAGTCTGCTGGAGTCTTGAACATTTGGTACCAGTACTCCTGAGGGAAACGTGACACAATCAAGTGGAATAGCTGGTCAACCATCACAGGGCCCTTAGCCTCTATACACTGAGCCACATAATCCAGCAGCTGCTGAGCTGTGTCTGTGTTTATATTAGCTGCAGGTAAATTGTGAAATTGTTCAGAATTGCTGCATGTGTTACCTCTTCTATGATTCTCACTGACTAGAACGACATTATCATCGATAATCTGGAACGTATCTGGATGTTTCAGGAGAAAGTCCTTAAACTCTTTGATGCGTTGACCAGAGATGTGACGTACCTGCGGAGATGCCTGGCTGCGATGACCCAGGAGACTTTTTATAGGCACCTCTGTACCTTCACCGTACTGAATCATCTTGCTAGCAAAGTACTCCTTCGCCTCTTCGATGTAATCGTTGTTGGACGACGCGCCGCCGCCACTCGGGTGCCTCTGGAATGTGTTGATATCAACATAGTCCCCGTCTATGCTGAACAACGCGGGGTACTGAGCTAGGAATTTTTTCAAGCCCGATTGCGACCCACCGGCGATCTGACGCATCTCCTTGGTGAATCCTTTGGCACCAAACTGGCAGGAAAGATCGTGCAACGTTCTCGGCTCGCCTTTGTCGAGCAGGCGTTCCACGAAGAACAACAGAGTGAGGTTTCTTGCGAGCTCATATTCCATTGATTCCATTTCCCAGCAGTTGGTGCCAATATGGTGTTCTTACACTAGATTTTTTCTACGTATATGTGTCACCCACAACACCATGAAATTCATCAATTCTAAGCCAGCCCACTCACAAAGAATAGAGAATAGAGAAAAGTGACGTGATAGAAGGTTGCCAAGACAAATTTTGTAATACCCGTAAACTTGTTTTACAATTATATTTGTAAGATCTGTACTTCGCACACTTTTCACGTCCTGGCATAGGCAGACTATAATACGTTTTTAATAATGTCGTGATAATAGATGCGTGAAAATTGATGATGGGGTTTTTCTTTCTTCGTATTTTCCGAAGTAAATTTTGTTTAAATACCTATTTGATAATTTTGTCTCACAGATAATGATAAATACACAATTTACTATATCTATGGATGGTTCAACATTAATTTTCTTCCTTATCTGTGAACAACCATAGACAGTAGAGAGAATTCAAATGTCAAGCTGTCAAATTAAAAACAGAGTATACAACACATTTTGTATATTTTTCAATTCTATCATTAAAAAGTGGGAGGATTAAATATTAGATTGAATACGAAATCTGGGTATTTCGTTACTTACATCAATTACAACTTCAATTTGTTTATATTGGGACTATTAATCATCTAATTACAATGGTAAGTACATAGCATATTTAAAAAATTCAATTACATCAAACCGGATAAGTTTAATTTGTTCATAAGTTTCTATTACAAGTAATCTGACGGCACAGTGAGAGTTTCACAGGAATACGATCAATGATTTGATACTTATTATATTTCTTACAATACAAACAACAACTTACAAAGATACAATACTAAAAAAACGAATTGTGTACATAAGGTGATTAAAATAAAAAATATTAAGAAACATCTTATTTCTGATATGAAAAATAAACAAGCAAAGATATTTACTTGACAACTGAGATAGAACCAGTAGTTTATGCATTTGAACAGAAAAATTTAATGTCTTTATATTTAACACACAAATTTTCAGTTAGTCCTGGTGCTTGGAGATCTGCACATTCCACACAGATGCAGCAGTCTGCCACCAAAGTTCAAAAAGCTACTACTGCCAGGCCGCATCCAGCACATCCTGTGTACAGGCAATCTTTGCACTAAGGAGTCATATGATTACTTGAAGACATTGGCCAGTGATGTTCATGTTGTTAGAGGGGATTTTGATGAGGCAAGTACAACATACTATGATATAAACAATTTTATCTAATACTGGTAATATTTTACAATGGCTATGTAAGCTAATTTTTTCCCATTGAACATGGTAAAATATTCAGTGTCATTGGTTGGAGACACTGAATGTGTTAAACTTTTTTCAATAGATATCTTATTATGAATACTTTACAGTTTTTGCTCTATTTTTTCCAGAATTCAACATATCCAGAACAGAAAGTGATAACAGTAGGCCAGTTCCGTATTGGACTGATTCATGGTCACCAGGTGGTGCCTTGGGGAGACGAGGAATCCCTGGCGCTGGTGCAAAGACAGCTTGACGTTGACATCTTGATATCAGGTCACACACACCGCTTTGAAGCCTATGAGCATGAGAATAAATTTTACATCAACCCTGGATCTGCTACTGGAGCTTATAGTCCACTGTTCAGGTAATATTTTACATTTGTTTTAAAATATACAGTAGAATTCTTTAAATTTCATTGATAAAGCAACAATTTTTCTTATCTTCGTATACTTGTAAAGCTCTACTTTTCAAATCTTGTGGTTTCAAGCTTTTTTTTATTTATTTCAGGAATCCAACACCATCTTTTGTACTGATGGACATACAGAGCGCTACAGTTGTAACATATGTGTACAAACTATTAGGTGATGAGGTCAAAGTTGAAAGGATTGAATACAAGAAAGCATAGTTATAATAATCCTGTGTTTAGTACAGTCAGGGAAACTGACGATGTTCCACCTTAAAACGATGACGCGAATACAATAACCAATCGGACGCAGCTTTAATGTGTGCATACAAAAAAGGTTTGGTCAGTGGTAGCAACTAATTGCATTTAACTAATAGCCCGTTTGCGCAACTCAGTACTACCTAAATGTTTATTTATAAAAGAGCTGAGCTTGTCTTAATGCAAGAAATAATTTATTTCTGTAAGTGGATCATCGTGGATTTCCTCAACTGTATAATTAAGCAATATGTTATGTATTAAAAATAATATATATAATAGAGTAAACTGATATGATATAGATTTGAATGTTTTTCTATTTTATGACAAATTATAAATATAAAGGCTTGTAAATAAAATTGAAATATCAGATCACAATCTAACTTTACATACAAATTACGATAATTTCAGATGTATTTGAAAGCTATTTATATTCTTTTAATGTTTGTTTTGTATTAGTTGGAATATCTGCTTGTTTATATATATTTATTTCATAAAAAATATAGAGAATTGAAGAAATTAAATTTTATTCAATGTGTTACATGGAATTGTAACAAATGGTTAAAACATTCATTGTCTTATCATATTCATTGTAACAATTTAATGAAAATTTTGTATATCTATAAGTTGGAAATAAAACTTAAATATAAGAATATATGTTTTCTATTTATTTAACTTTTACAGTTTTCTGTATATGAGTCCCTTGTATTATGTGATACAATTTTACTGCGGCAATTCACTACTAGACTTATTAAGTAGAATAATCTATACATTATGCGCCGACGAAGTCGCGGGTGACCGACTGTATGAAAATTTATACGGGTTTTGGATTAACAACAGAAGGGGACGCATGAATGGGAAATGTTCTCTTTCTGTGTGTCCCCTACTCTGTTGATTTGAGGGAGGCAAATCATCTGCAAAGGCGGATGTCTATGGATCTATGGTCGCTTTGATATTTTTTCGAATACAGATCGCTGCTAGATTGTTTGCCATCTTAATAAAAAAATTACAAAAAATAGTTTTTACTATAAGAAACCTACTACGACAATACTAACGCCAACAAGCGAAATGGTTTAGGGGACGGACATCGGATCGCGAGGTCTTGGGTTCGAACCCTAATTGAATCTACCAAATACTAGCGCATACAGCTTAAAATATCTGTAGTTTTTTCTGAAGGTTATTTACTTTACTAGCTAACGCCTACGTGACATCGCCCAAAAAGTCATTAGGTAAGTAAAAAAAGTTTGCGTGATTTGATGCACGTCTTCGCAGCAGTTGCTAACAGATGACAGAGATTTATTGGTGTATTGTTTTAACCTAATTGTTTTTTTTTTCGACACAGACTCACAAACAACGTGTTGTAATGAATATTGGAACTCTTTTTACATACCGTTTTATGGAATTACCTACCATGTCGACTTAATTATACTTTTTAATGGAAAGAGTGTTTTATATTGGAAAAATAGTGGAATTCGAATCGACAAAGCTGAGTAAATGCCGAACATTTAACCTACGTTTCGGTTACTATGACTTAATGTCAAATATTTATTGGCCTTCTAATTTGTAGTAAGTTTGTTTTTAATCAAAGTCATTGTAGTCAGCAGTCAAAATATGTTTTGTACATGAACGGTTGTCTTTCTCCTATTTGGCAATGATTTTATTACGTTATCATAAATGTGGCAATTAATTTTATTAGCATAAAAATATAAACAGGAAAAATATGTATAATTATTTGGTTGATTGAGTTCTGTTATTGTTTATTTTCCGCTTACGATAATATAAAGATTTATTACAACATATCTCCCGACAACAAATAAATATGTCGGACTACTTATGCATACAGTTTACATGTCTTTTGCGTTGTGTACCTTTTTTTATCAGAGTAAAATAGAAAATGTATATGTATATGTGTAGTAGAATTTATATTGCCCCTTTTCGGAAGATGTGTGACGTCGTAGTGTTATATCGGAAAAAAGATCAAGAGACAACTTTCTCTTTCAGGAACTCGGGATGACCATACTGAGCTTTCATAAACTTAATTCCATTAATCTTAAATTCAGTGATCGAAACACGTAGGGTTAAAGTTAACTTAGATTTTAACTTAATCAAACAAAGGTCAAATGGTAAAGCGGGCAGTTGTTACTAAATTTAAAAAATAAACTTAATTTCTAAAGCTCGTTTGTAGACATGTGTTAGACAACGTAGGACAATCACGTGCTTCAGATAAGAATTATAATAGATTCCTTAAATAAATAAGGAAAAATTTAGGAATCAGTCTCTAATCTCTCCCTACGTGTCATTGACCGAGCTATGTATCCATGTTCCTAGTTAAATATAGACAAGGAAAACTATTTAAAATTAAACGGCAATTATCAATAATACAATAATAACATGATTTAATTATCAATTTACTAAGATGTCTCGTTAACCTAAATCGCAATTAGGCGTTCAAAATGTTGGCGTACGTGAGTGTTGCCGCATTCGTCCGCAAGCGTCCCCCTCCCGCGCCGCCCCGCCTCACCCCGCCCGCGCTCTTCGTAATCAAACGTCAACAAAACTATCGAATGCCGTCTACCACATTTTTTCTCCCAGTTCTAAAATGACAAAAAATAATTTCATTCACACGATTATACTTTCAAGCTCATTACAATATAAAGACGAATATTGTTCGAAAACCAATTGAGTCGTATTCAGTTGTAACAGCGCTTCTTAGTTTAGGGTTCGTAATAAGTTATGATTGTGAGAATTTACTTGAGGGGCTGGTTGTTTTTTTGCCAGAGTTTCTAATCTAAACCTAATCGCAGCACTGCGCCGCCACAACGCCGATAAATGAGATATGTTAGCTACTTTACACTACTTAGGTTTCGCGGTTCGAATCTTTGTACAATTAAATCCATATTGACAAACAAATACGACGAATTCGAAAACGAATTTTAAATCAATAGTTGGCAAAGCAAATAAGAATTATAGGTAATTTGTGCCTTTTGTGAAATAGGGAATTCTTTATTCCTTTACTAATTTACTGGTTGTTCCCGTTACGGCGAAAGATGCTTTTTATTTTATGGCTTAAAGGGCAGGTAGCCCTTTTGTGTTAAAGTGTACCAGCCCTGGCGTAAACAACAACACAAGCACATGCAGGGTTCGCTCGCAGCCCCCTCCACCGCCTACAGAATGCCGGTCGAGTAATAAAACACTGCGCGTTTACATATCACCAAACAGTTCGGTGTTCGGTGAATGTGTGTTCCCGCTTTACTTTCTCTGCGCGCGCGCTTTTCAGCGTCCAAGTCTATTCATAGACAATAAAAACTTTTTAAAGAAACTTTTTAGTTTAATGTACCTAAGTGTTGTGTTGTGTTAAGCACTAAGATGGCGGCCTCGCTTGTAAGACTCGGCTTGCGTTCCATAGCCCTGAATTTGGAAAGGACGGCGGCCCTTCTCTCCACTACCACAGTACAGAACCAAATTAAGGTATTTGACTAATAAAATTGTGTTTACTTTACATCTCTTAAATATAAGTAATTGAAATCTGCTTAAGTAGCAAGTACTATTTAACTCTAGCTTTAACTAGTAAGTTATATATTATACTTACATATCCCAGAAGCCGGTTTACTTAGTTTAAGATTTAACCAAGTGTGCATTACTAGCGGCTCATTCTAATTTCAAGAAATGTACATAAAATGCATAAAACAGTGCATTTTATTGTATTTTACTTGTACTTCTCTTACTTTTTCTATTCAAAAATCAATGTTAAATCTACTAAAAAAACGATAACTATAAATCATAAACCGTTGTAACAGTTTTAAGTATATAACGCTTTGTTTCACACGAGTTATTTTTGTCACTCTGAATCTCGGAAGCTCGAGTTATCTCCATGTGTTTGTTTAAATTATTACTTGAAAAGCATCTTCAATATGCTTTCTTTTACTTCTTTTCTGAATTTCTCTTTTGGAATTTATTTTATTTTAATATTATATTGAACATAACAAACTTACCACGAACAAATAATTTAATAACTAAGAGATAATGATCAATCAATTATTTTAATGACAACTATTAACAAATTATATTAATAATTAATAAATTGTTTCTCTTTGTATTATAATACACTCGAACTTGGATAAACACAAGTTCAAGTGACTGCGATATTTTCTCGCTTAGAAAGGTGTCTCTGTCCCAAGTTTCTCGCTTATGGAAGTCGTCTGTTACTTCGGGTTCGACTCTACAAAATATATTTAACGTAATTCAGTTTCAAACTTTTAGATATCTACTATAAATTTTCTCATATAAAGTATTACGGTAAATATTTTAGAACCGCTGCACCACATGGATTATTCAATTACTCTTAATCTGTAAAAGCCTTTTAAAAGTAAAAAGCGACCAGCCAATAACAAAACATTGATTTGTTCTTCATTTGGTATGTACATTAGTTTATTATTAATCAGATAAAAAAATCAAGTTGAAAAAATCTTCTATCTGTAAACCACATTGTTTGATAGCAACAAGCAATACTTTGAAGCGGTCATTGGTCAGTTGTCACTGAACTAAAAAGTTCTCTTTTGATAACCTTTTATCACAATGTCCCGTAAGTCTGGTCACAAAGGGACCTTGTGGGCAATTCAGTACTTTATTGTTTTTATATTAAGGTTAATTTAACTTATAATGTTGGGTGTTATCTGAATTCGTATTTATACATTTACAATTTTCAGAAATAAAATAATTTTAGCCAATATTTGTTACGGTTGTTTAAATTGATCGTAATAGAATATTTATAGGAGTTCGCTTGTTTCCATTTCTTCAAGACTTCTTTAGTTAATTTTTTCTCATAAAAATAGATATAATTCTGTAAACTTAAACGAACGACGTGGGATTTTTAACATCAAAATACTGTTGTTTTATGTAAACTAGACGATAAAGGACCAGGATGTCAACGAATTGTGTTTTCTGGATGCGACGTTCCAAATCTGATAGGGCTGGTAATGTAGTGGTAGAATTAGGTAGTAACAGCACATGTATTACTAATTTTATTTAGCTTTTTACATTTTCCTTATAAAAAAGATTGTGGATAAGATTATGATCGTTTTTCAAATATTAGGGAAACGTCAAATGCTAGTGTAAATCATAGAAAGTTCACGGAAAAAACAGTATAAATAAAACTTGCATAACATCTAAAATCGTAGGTTCGTTATGTAACTGTATCATTATTTATTTATTTCTTGAATATATATTGACGGTCTGCAGAAACCGGTTTTAATGTAATGTAAGGTATAAGTTGATTTAAATTTATAATCAGTTCTGACGAGGTGTGGCGCTACTGTAGCTACTAGGAGTTTCAAATATCTTCCACATTTTTACATAAATAAACACATTTAATTATTTTTTAAAATATAGAAAAAGTTCATTAACAGAAAATAAGTAATTTCCTGCATATTTTTATCATTTTGTATCTGTAATTATAGACAAAAACAATATTTTTTCTACAGTAATCTTTGATGGATGACATTTATTTGAAATTGGAACGTTAAAAAATGTTTTCACGTTTGTTTTGATCGGTGCGGCACAGGACGACCTTGTGTTGGGCAGTTAAGTCAACAATTCGATTGTTTTGTTAATGCTGTTTAAACAAAACAAAAACAGCTGATGTGAATGAACGTGCACATGGCCAGGCACACACACCTCACACGCATGTACAACTCAAGGCTGTATTTAATTACTCTAGTATACGACTTTAAATTAAGAACACAATAATACAATCGTACATATGGTAGGCAATTTATAATTGAGTATAGTAAAGTTTTTGTTTTAAAATCATTATACTAATAAGTTCATAAAAATCACCTATTTCTGGACGAAAACAATTCTATAGATATTTTAACTACATTTATATTCCCGTACCAGGTTGGTGATGAGCAAAAATTTCACTTTGAAGTACAGTACTTAAGTTGACGGAAGTTTAAGTTGAGAGGCACGATAATTAAGATAAATAAATAAGGAAGTCTCTATACACATTAACATCGTAGTCTACAGCAGTAGAATACTATTAAAAGAATATTACCAAGACGTTATTATTATTCATAACTTCTGACTTTGAATGACAGACCAGTAGGATAGTAATCTTTATGAAAGACGGTGCAAAGCTTAACCTTTTTTGTGTATTTTGATGAGTAGCTTGTGTAGATCGCTACGTGTGGTCAACCATAGACAAAAAAAATCCATAATTTTGTCGTGCCTAAGCGCCTAATTCATTTTATCTAAATGACAGTTTATTCTGGCGCCTTTTTTTATCTAATACAGCTTTAATGACACATCTAATTATATTGTAATTATTTTGTCTTGTACATCTATTTTTAGAACAAAAATTAACAAAAATCTTATATCTGGTTAAGTTAGTTATCCACTTATTTTGAAGTTTTATTATAAATCAAACAGAATTATATTAGGGGAACCCATTGTATATTTACCAGACCTTTTCCGCCTTCATTTTGGTATCATAATGATATTTAAAGTGTATGCGGGTGGACGCTACAGATATTGACCTTTATTTCACCTTGATGTTACTAAACTTAACAGAACTGTCTTAAACTATACCTGATTATAATAAAAAAAAAAGGATTGAATCTATTGTAAATTAAAAGCTTAGATGCAGCGCGATATAGAAAGTAACGGCATGTTGGCCTTGTGTGTAATAGTGATGTCCTGTTGTAAGAATAATATAATATAATAATAAATTGTTGACAATATTTTGGTGTGTTAATTCGGTTTTTTTTAATAAGGTTACCTTGTCGTGAAAACATTATTACTATGTGTTTTATTTTAGTAAGATAGATAGGAATGAACCATAATATTACACGTATGTAGTTATCAAGTTCCAATTCAGTTTAAATGGATGTTATTGACACAATCATTGCGAATGGGAACACGTTAACAAAGATTGAGTGCATCCCGGTGTGCGAAATTGAATGTTAGCGAATTGAGACAATTGGGCGCTACCAGACAGTATTCCATGTTTAAAATTATGCACAATAAATTACGCAATATGATTAACCTAGCGAAAATAATATCAAACATTTTTATAAATTTATAAAATTTAAAATAAAACTTTTTATTTATAAATATGAAAACAAAAGTTTCCTTTGCCTTCATCATGAGAAAACAAAGCGTCAGCCATAGACAATACAAAGTTTGGCGCCAAACTAATGCGTGTTATGTAAATAACGATAGTTGCTCAATCGCGGCCCACACTAGCGATAGCTGCTGCGGGGTCAATGACCGTATGCAGCTACCAACACATTATGCAAGCGTGTGCGTGTGCGTGTGGCCCTTCCAATACTCACATAAATTATTAACACTTCTTGACTTTAAAATAAAGTAACTAACAAAATATGCGATGACATTTGTATCAATGTAACTCAGAGGAATAAGTAAAGATGCAATTCGGCGATTAGTGTAAATATAAGGTAAAACAGGATCTATAAAGTAAATGAGGCTAAGTATTCATTTGTCATCTCCAGTTGATCCACTCAAAGGCGACGTGTACCGGCACGGTATGTTACCTGCCGGAGCGCGAGGCGGAGCTGGACCGTGGCATCTGCCGCCGCTATAGCAAACAGCACGGCCGCCCTGACCAGCATCGCAGGCAGGACAGCGACAGTGCCAGCGAGTCAGACTCCGATACTGAGTGCAAGGGATTCGATAGGGTATGTACCTTGTAGATTCTTTCTTCACTTAAAATCGTTTAATGATAAATTAAACGGTCTCTTAGTGTCTTTTTTCTCAATCTTATAAAAGATTCTTATATCTCTAGCAAAGTGGTTGAAAAAAATATTATAAACTTTATTGTTTTTTGTAAGGAAAGTTTATCTTATTATTCTTTTGATAAAAATATAGAGAACTATCATTTAAGATGTGATTTGTCTTGTGCTACAGTCAGAGTTCTGGCGGCGCAAGATGCGCACTGTACACAACATCCTGGACGTGGACAAGGACGGCCTCATCTCCTTCAGCGACTTTCAGCTCTTCGCAGACAGGTTCAAAGCTCTGGGACATCTGGATGAGGAGCAGGCTAAGGAGTTCACCGCTATTATTAGAGTAAGTAGTCTAACCATTCGTTAATTTGTGATACGATTAGTCGGTCGGGACTAACAGTACTTCAGATTCATCATCATCATTATCATCATCAGCTCACTATACGTCCCCACCGAGGGGCACGGAGTCTACCCTAAGTTAAGGGTGATTAGGCCATAGTCAACCACACTGGCCAAGTGCGGGTTGGTTGACTTCACACATATCTTTGAATTTCTTCTTATATATGTGCAGCATCACGATGTTTTCCTTCACCGTAAGAACGTCTGATAAATGTACATATGTAAATTGAAAATCGAAAAACACATTGGTACATGTCAGGATTCGAACCCAGGACCTGCAGATTGCAAGTCAAGTGCTTGACCACTGAGCTACCGACGCTTACACGTCACGTCAGATAAGTTTTTAATAATATTTCACAAAGGTTTTTAATAATTCATAGTCGTACATTAACTGAAGAAGCCGTAGTATAATTGTTCGTGTTTGTGTTGTTCAGATGACGTGGGAGGAGCAGTGGGGCGCCATAGACCCGTACAACTTTGTGACGGTGGAGCAGTACCTGGAGGACATGCACCACGTGCTCACTGACAGATCTCTCAAGAAGCGAGCGCATCGCTGGCTGCCCTATCTCTTCAAGGTCACTAAACAATTAACCTCGTACATTTCAATTTTCTAGTTTATCTTTCAGTATAATTGTTACCTCTAAGTTATAAATGAATTTGAATGTATGGATGGATGTTTGTTAGTCATAATATTAGAGTAATTGGTTGTTGTATGATATTAGTGAAATACTTTGAGAGAGCCCAGAAATATGTATTTTAGTTAAAAAAAACTTGTATGTAATTAAAGCGTTCTGTTTGTTTCTGCAGGCTGTAGACAAGGACAAGTCGGGCTACATATCTGTGGCGGAGTTCAAGTTGTTCTTCCAGTGCCTGGGACTGGACAACGAGCACGCGGCCGTCGCATTCGCTGTCATCGATACTAACGGGGTCAGTCCGCCATCTTGTAGTCCTCCATTTTGTTTTATTCCGCCATCTTGTATAAATATAATCGCATTTCTTTTGCGGAGGCTTTTTCTTTATTTTGAATTGAATTTGTCACTTAATTTAATATTCCACTGAATTGTTTTTTATACAGAGACTTGGAGTATTTCTTGTTTTGAATGTTTATATAATTCTGTATCAGGACGGCAAGTTGTCTCTGAAGGAGTTCGTGAAGTTGGGCAAAGACTTCTTCTTTACTGAGGACGAGAGCAAAGTCTCCAAGATGTTTTGGGGGCCGCTGATCGACGTGTGAGATCCGGTCACATCACTTGACTACATCACTCCAAGACTGTATTAGTTAGGAATATTCACTCACTCGGAGATTTTAAGTGGCCATTAAGGGTTGTTTAGCGAAGATTTAATATGAAAAAACTATTAGTTGAGTGAATATTAGTTTTTATTAAATGTAGTTCAGTGTAGTTTTTTAGTCTGTAAAGACGATAAAATGTATGTAACATTCCGAATGTAATCATATGACTAGCTGTTGCCCGCGACTCCGTCTGCGCGAAGTTAAAAAAAATCATAATTACTAGCCGATGTGTTTTTCCAGACTATGTTCTACGTTTATGTCAAATTTGAAAAGATCCATGAAGTCGTTCTGGAGATATGTTCAAACAAACATCCATCCATACATTCGGATGACATAGTAGTAGTTAGTAATATTATTTACTGAATGTCGTACTCAGATGTAAAGTGCAACTTTATTATTATTATTTTGACAATTACTTAATAATTTTGTTTGAAAGTTAGTTGTTGTAACGATTTTGTTATGATTTTGTATTTTATAGAATTAAAATAAGATTTATGAGATGAATCTCAATAAAATCAAAAATTATTTTATGTATTTTATTTACCTACAAATTTCCACATTTTCCTAATTAAAATGGTTTTTTTTCTTTTTATTTTTATCAAAAGTTATGAATAAAACTATAAAGTGTTAATATTTTTTTATTTTATCAAATCAATTGACACAAAATTTCTAGAATAAATGAAATTAAATTTATATTGAGTTTTACATCGGAACAGAAAAATGTTAAATTATTTATCATGAAGAAATCATTTTATAAACACTCTTATATTTTACAATCAAATAGAAGAAAAATCATCGAATATTTATAAACAAAAAGTAAGCAAAATCTTCCCTGAGGGATGAAATTAAAGTGTAAAATGTCACAATAAGAATGTGAACATTTTATAATATAATACTGTTTTATATTTCTGAATAGTTTTAGCAAATTCTTTGTAAATACTCATTGATTTAATTTGCTAAAGAGATAAATTTAAATGAAGATAAGAATAAAGCGCGGAGTCACACGATGCTGAGCTGATCCTTGAGGAGTTTCGTTTCTTCTATCAGAGATGATATTTGACTCGTCCTGGAATTAAATATTGTTTTATAATTAATATAACTTTAATAAAGTTAAATAAAGAGTTATGCTCTATACATATTAATAAAATTATAGTGTCTGTCTGTAGAATCAAATAAATTATATTTTCTACACATTTTTTGTCTAGCTGATAAGAATTTTTTTTATTGAATAATTTTTTCTGTCTGTCTGTATGTATGTTAACCGACAGACAGACGAGTCTGGGTGTTTGTTCAGGTAATCTCCGCAACAGGTGGATCAATTTAGAGAGCACTTCGACATGAAAGTAGTTAATTTTGCGCGGAGGAAGTTGTCAATAAATTTTATTAAAGAGTAGGTTCATTTTGAAATGAATTCTGATGATGTGGTGAGGGAGAGATGAGGGAGAGGTAAGGGAGAGGTATACATACTGTTGGTGCAGCACGGAGGAGATGGTGTCGCTGTGGGTGTTGCCGAGCGCCGTCTCCTTGCGCTTGTACTCCTCCTGCCAGCGCCGCAGCTGCACATACATTGTACTTCTCACTAACAATATAAATGTGAATGTATGGATGTACAGGAGAGAGACAGGAGGAGGAAGGTGGAGGACCTCGTGAGCCTTGTGTCGCGCGTGTGTGGCGAGCTGGTGTATCTGTGCGGCGAGGGTGTCTGCTGCGCGCCGGTACTGCTGCAGGTCTGCGCACACGCCGCGCTCCCCGCAGCTCGCCGCACTGCCCGCACGCACCGCACGCACCACCGACCCGCATCTGTATACATACATACATACATACATGCTTACTGTATATACCACTTCTGAAAAAATGTTTAAGTGAAATTGTCAAATTTTTAAATATGAGTGCTTTTTAAGATAATTTGTAAATTATTTCCAACTACAAATGACTTTTTTCCGCATCTGCAGATGCTTGTCGACTCAAGAATAATTTTTTATATCCGATAGTCAATCAAAAACACATTTTTTTAACACAAAAAATACGAAAATTGCATACACAAATGTTAACAGAAGAGAATTATAACAAGTAACTTTCGATGTTGGCGCCATCTATATAAAACATCGTGTTCTCGACATTTGAATATTTTTTGCTTTAGCGCTACAAATTATAGAAGCAATGTTGGTGTTGATGTCGACCTGTTCTTGAGGTCCTCCTGCTGCTGCTCAGCCAGCGCGCACTTCTGCTGCAGCTGTCGCCCGCGCTCCGCTATACCTTCCATCTCAACCTGCAAATGTTTTATTATACTAAAAGTTCTAAATAAAACATCTATGTTAAACCTCCATCATATTAAAAAGTAAAATAACAAAGTATAAAAAAAAAACAAAAAAGTAAAAATATCTATAAGTTTTTTGCCAAATTACAATCTAGACATTTTCTTTGTATTTCTGTGTTTTTTATAAGGTGGTAAGAAAAGCAGGCAATGCATCTTCAGTTCCAGATACATTGCTTACTTTTAATTATTAGAGGAGGGGGGGGGACGTACAGAAATGGTATATTTCCATTTCCTATATGTCTCCTTCTCTGTCAAAGCCACTACCCATGTTGTTCCATATATAAGAAATTGTTAGGAAGGGAGAGCGGTACGGTATATATCTGTAACGTGTAGAATATATGTATGAATGTAGTTATGTACGGAGATGTTGCTCCTCCAGTTGAGGAAGTTGTGTGCGAGGTTGTGGAGAGCAGCAGACTTGCGGAGGAGGGCGGTGCCGGCGCGCGACTGACGGCTCATGTACTCCTTGCGCAGGACAAGCGTCGCGTGAGTTAGCGTCTGCAAATACAAACTCATTATTAATTTTTATCCTATATTTCTCTAGACAGGGCCTGGGCTGAGTTTACCTCTTATCAGTCATAAGGCTGAGTTTACCTCGAGTCAGTCTGAGGGCTGGGTTTTATCGCTGGTTAGTTCTAATGCTGAACTTACCTACAGACACTTTTAGGGCTAAGGTACGTATCTCTAGTAAGTTCTAGGACTGAGTTTACCTCCAGACAGTCCTTGGGGCTGGGCTGGTCGGGCGCTGGGGTGCGCAGATGCAGCAGAGGCTGCGAGGCCTCTCGCGCCAGTATCTCCTGGATGATTGTCACGAACGACAGCTTTTGCTTCTGAAAACATAGACAACAGTTTAATATTGTCGATAAGAACATATAAATGTTAAGTGATGTTATAAACATGTCGGTCGACCTCCTTGAGCAGCTTGTTGAGGTCGTCGGGCTCGAGGTTGGGGTTCCGCAGCTGGATCTCGCGGTACAGCCTCTCCTCCAGCTCGTACGGCTCCAAGCTCCTGCGTGCATCACATTGTGTTATAGCTCTGTCATGATGACAGCATGTGTGTGTGTGTGTGTGTGCGTGTACCGGGAGATGAGTGCGCCGTCAGGTGCGAGCAGCAGCAGCAGCGGAGGCGGTCCCCGCAGTGGTGCAGCGCCGCAGCCAGCTCGCCGCCAGCTCACCACGTGCTGGGCGGAGCTGGTGTGTGTGCAGATAGCTGACAGCGCGCTCTCAGCGTTCGCTACAACACATGTATGTAGCAAATTCTTTAAATGATATAAAATCACCTAAATATGTAAGAAATGAAGATCCTCGAGTACATGCGATATGAGTATGAGAGTTTAGTTACTTTGATCAGCCGCAGCGTAGTCTTTGAGTTTGTCGAGTATGGGCAGGGAGACAGTGTGCACGCCGGCTGAGTGCACGCACGCGTACGTGTTGTGTGTACACTGGAGAGACATACAAAATAATCATTTAATTATAATTCAATTAGATAGCGTTATTTTGAAAGTGCGAGTTAGTTACCGGGTACAGATGCACCGGATACGAGTGAGAGAATTCGCTGTCGTTAGAGTTCACGTTCAGGTTCAACTCCACTGATTCTACCACGTACAGCGCGTAACCACTTCGGTCATCGCCATCTTCTGAAGGCTGGAAATTAAACGTATCTTACGATTATTCTTATTTTTATACTAAGAGAGAATGTTGTGATAAATAAATCTTACTAATATTATAAATGCGAATGTTTAGATGGATGTTTGTTCGAAGCCAGAACGGCTGCATGGATCTCGCTGAAATTTAACAGGGATATAGAGCATAGTGTGGAAGAACACATAAGTGCGGACGGAGTCGTGGGCTACAGCTAGTATTTTTATAAATATATTGACCCCAAATTGTCTAAACATTTATTTGAGAAAACTATAGTTATTGTAGTTTTGTAGGAACATTTTTTTAGATAGATAGATATTTTATCGACTAAGTTGTCATACGATTCACAGCCTTATCCTAAATGTTTTAAGGTTGCAATTAGCGCAGCACGCAGTAGACTTACAGCAGGCAGCAGGAGGCAGTGGTAGAGTGCGGCGGAGCAGGTGGCAATGACGACGAGCAGGGTATCTCCAGCACCCAGCACACAGATGGAGCACGACTCTGAGCCGTAGTTGTCGTCAGCAGGCGGGTAGATGGCCAACGGACCCCAGAGCCGTGGCTGCAGGGGGCTGCACACAGTTTGTTATAGTACATCCATCTTTAATTATTTAGTTGAGAACAAATCTTTTGATGGTATAAGTTCTATAGAATGAAAACATTGAATAGAAATATGAAACATGCTTAAGTTGTTCCTGTTTGGTTCAATTCCTGTCCTTCCTATCCCAGATGGTCAACTACTATACACAACCTTTAAAAAAAATAATCAGAAAACAGAATATTAGAGAAAAAGGAAAAAATATAAATCGAATGCTACACACAAACACATCTACAAATAATATTTTTTTAGACACATAACTTCGTCTTTTTTAGAACAGTTAGATTGGTTGCCTAGATCATTTGAAATGCTAGTTCGTTTGTCCTTTTTCCTTCCCACTTACCTTTTACTATCCAGGGTGCATTGTACCATATACACCTCGCCGTCTCCTCGTAAGATGAGCAGGGAATCCGTATTAGGTAAAGGTGTCAAGTCTACGGCGGTGTCTCCCAGACTGTCCAGTATGGTCCGCCCGGCCAGCTGGCTTGACGGCTTCAGTCCGATAGGAATGGATTTGACCAGTTTCGGACCAGACTTCAAAGCTATGTTGTATAATCTGAAATTTAATATGAGGAACTATTGAAACATCTGATTAATACTGTAAATGCGAATGTGGTTGAATGGTTGGATGTTTGTTAGAAGGTATCTTCAGAACGGCTCAATGGATCTCGATGAAATTAGGCATAGACGTGGGACATAGTCTCAAACGGACGGAGTCGGTGACAAAAGTTAGTGTTACATAATTTGGTTGATAACTGTGTCAAGTAATTGTATCACTTGTCTTGTAACATCAATGGTATAATTTCCCTTAGTGCGTGTTCACATATGTGTAAAACTTACCTGATAGTGTTATCAGACATAAGTACGAGGATGTGTGAGAGCGAACTGGGATGCCACTGCACGCGCCTGATCTCACCCTGGGAGAACAGGAACCTCTCGTCCAGGGAGACACTTCTGTAAATTGGAGATAAGCAGTATTAGTACTACGTTACGTTTGAAAATTGGAGAAGTTTCGTTTATTTTAAAGTTTTTTTATATCATATCGCTAAGAAAATCTTAGCTACAGTAATGTTGAGTAATTACTCAAATTAACAAAAGAAAGAAACGCTTGCGGGTCGACGCGAGATAAAAATTAGTCGCATACGTAAAAAGGAACGGATCCAAGGAAAACGGTCGCGCTCACTTGGCGCCGTAAATCAGGCAATTTTTACATAGCAAAGGAAAGGGTCAGTTTTTCCCACCTCTGTGTCGGCGGACAAATGAAAGCAGCGGCGGCGCACATTAGCGCGGGCAGGGACACTGTCTCCGGAACAAAAACCGATAAAAAACGGGAAAAGGTTCCGATTCGGTAAAAAATAAGAATCAGACAATGGCCGCGGGCGGCGGGCGTCGTGCGGGGGCGGGGACACAGGGGACGGACTCTATACGTGTCCAGTTTTTTTACGAGCGGTAGCCCTTTGTCCTTCCGGGCCTCTTTTTTAAATAGATCAGAGAGGGTAAGTAAAGACCGTCGGACGTCCACCCTGAAATATTATTGTGGATTTTTCTGGTGCGCGTTCATAAATATTTGGGTCGGCGCCCACCCCCTAGCCTCGGATCGGAATTATAAATTCGGTTAATAAAATATGAAACGATAAAGCCGCTTTTTTCCTCGCCGGCGCGCACCTCTTATTATTTTGTTTAAATTTAAATATGCATAATTAAATTTAAAAAAAGGAAATCTGAGCGCGTTAATGAAATTTTTGTTTTTGAGATAATGAATTGAAAACAGGACATTGTCGCGGCGGCGCGGTGTGGCGAGGCGCGGTGTGGCGCGGAGTTGGCGCGATGTTTTTCTTTCGCGCTCCTCATTCGTATGCGGCTAGCGAGCTGCGGAAAAACCCAAAAAATTAAATAAATGTAATATATTAATTAAGGCATATTCTATTTTTCCTCGCTTATCTGACCCTCACGGCGCTATCGCGAGCGCACACGTCATTTTTCATTCGTACGTTACACCAAAAAAAGAGTTTTCATTAAAATCACAATTACACTCCTGCGCTGTTAATGCTTCAACATTATTTCTGCGTTACTCTTCTCTGTTCACCTTAATTATATAATACATCGAGTGGATATTTACTTAAATTAATTACAGCTCCTCAGCTTAAACATGTGTATGAAATTTGCAACTTCTTAAGTCAGTTTTATATATTACTTTTATTCTAATCGTTGTCCGCTTAGCCATATTTTGGTTCGGATAATTTCAAAGCAATGGAAACTGCTTTAGTTTTTAGGGTTCCGTACCTCATAGGAAAAAAACGGAACCCTTATAGGACCACTTTGTTGTCCGTCACTCTGTTTGTCAAGACCCTTTTATTTCTTGGACCTGTGCATCGTTAACAGGATTGATCTCGGAAACATCTTACTTCACTGCTAGTCTTAATACTATAAAGTGCAAATCAAGTTTTTTTAATTTATTAAATGCTACAAAACAAGCGACTAATGTCCGAGACGTTGTCTGAAAAGCCAAACATTGCCCTTAATCAAGGGAAACGAGCGCGCGATCAAACGCACCCCGAGTTACAATTAATAAAAGCACCAAAACCGACCGAAAAATATATATGAAAACAAAAAAAGGCATCGCCAGACCGCAAGGGATTAAAATCGTAACGAACGCGCAAAAATATTCAAATACAATACTAACAAATTGATACAAATACTCATTAGGCACGGAAGGCGATCCGGCAAGGGGAGGGGAGGCAGGGGACAGATCGCCCGCGCCGTCGCCCGCAACATTACAATCCACATCCAACGTACAAATATTATCTAAAATTCCTTCTCATTTATAATCCTTTTGTGTCCTCGCGCGGTGTCCTCCGTCAGAGCCACCCTGCACCCCGTCCCGCACCGCACACCCCGCCCCCCGCCTCCCGCCGCGGGGGTATTTTTATATTTTTAATCGCGCCGGGCATTATCCAAATGGACATCGGCGGTCCCGCTGTCGCTGCCGTCTCGATGATAAATTCCTCCTTCGTTCGACACCCGTTGTTTTGTCGGGGCCCTTCCTTTATTCGTATCGTATCGAAGTGGGAATAAAAAGCTTGCGCGCAATCAATAATTGCGGTAGATTTGTCTGCGGGTGACTGCCGACTGCTACTGTCGACTACCGCTGCACACTGCGGAGCGCGTTTCTTTTCCTTCATGCCACTCGAAGTGACGGAGAATTACGCGATTAGTGATGTGCCTCACCTCACTAATCTAGACATTACGATTATGACAATTCTTGAGAAAAATATAGTACCAGTTCTTAATAAAAAATCATTGAATAGAGGCCCTCTGCAATGAAGAAAGTCTAAACAGCTTTTTTATTATTTTAAAATGATTAGAAATGGCATGTAATAGTTTGTAACTAAATATATAAGATAGTCTTTTTATCGATGTGTCAATGATAATAAACCAAGATAGTTGTAAAAAACAACCAAAGAATCTAAGATCTAACATCGAGACAGAGATAAAATATTTTTGTTGTATTTTTACTATCATTTTATAATTTATTTTGCATGCTAGTAGATGGTACAACACTATGCCGTCTTAACCGCATTTTTTGTGTACAAATGAAAATTGATTGAAGCGATCCTCAATCCTCGTCCGCGTTTGATGGCTCCTTATTGAATCCCCTGACATCTGCTTGCCGCGTGACGCCTGACGTCTGGACGTGATCGATGGATGCCCGCCAACTGATAATTGGCCTTTTCTTTCCTATTGTACTTTGCTAATACACGGAGAAGAAAAAGGTCAGCAAAAATATTTCATTGTTGAAAACAAGACAACGCGCCTATCTTATATAACTTCATAGTATGTTTAGTATAGTTTCGGATACACTAGGATGTTGAAAAGATGACGTCGAAAAAGTTTTTATATCAGGCAAGTAAGAAAAAAGAATTCTTAAATATTAAAAAAAAAAGTAAAAACGCAACCAGATACGAGAGAAAAATTAATTCCCTTGTGTACCCCGCTCTGAAATATAATTTGATAAGTATTATAAAAAATAAATAAAAGACATAAAATGAAATCTAATTAACATTTTATATGTCTATGTCCCCTCTCTCGGCACAAAAACAATAACACCAATATCAGAGGCAGAACCCAACCGCAAAGACAATATCTTCCGTCACATAAAATTCGAAAAAAGTTTAATGGAAGCGAAATCCCGCGGACCGATAAAACGTATTACCCCAATATATTATAGAAATTCTAAATGTTTATGTCAACCATGCTGCGGAATAACAACGGATATGTCCTAATTCATAACTGTTAGATAACTGTCTAGTTATATTGATACTACAAAAGACTACTAGAACAAAACAAACAGAACATAATAGGCGTGAGCCTGTAACCCAGAGGGGTAGGCTGAGACCAAGGACTTCCATTTGGGGCAGACCAGATATACCTCTCTCGCTTCTATGTTCATATATCTACGCATACATTTACGTCAATTTCGTTTTCTCTTAATAATTAATACGAGTATTTCATCAATCTGGACGGTATAAGTCTGTCTGGGACGGCTCTTACAATTAAAATAGTGGCAATAAATAAATATATCGTTCGTACAGATCGTCAAAATGAATCTTTAGAGTTTAACTTTTAAAGGTGCATCTATGCAATTGTGTACAATTCAAATATTTTGAATAGTTCATTTGCTTGATAGTAAAATAATCCTTATACGATTGCCGCAACTTTATATAGTCTCAGCTAAATTCAGTATACACTAGGGTTGAATATCCCGTGTACGTGCGCTGAGATGGGGCACCTACTTCCGTATGATCCCTTTATTACGGCGGAGCGGACACGGAGACGCGGCACTCGCTTTGCATATATAGAAAAGCGATTCTTTTTTTCGTTATGAAAAACGATGGAAAAAATGCAAGCGGGTTGTGGCCAAGAATTAATGGTGCGCGAGCTCTGGCCGCGGGGGAGGGGAGGAGGTTCGCGGGAGGGGGACTCTCGATCTGGTTCAAACGTGTTCACTCCAGGTGATTATGTCACGTGACTATGTCTATACATCAGTCGATTGAATCCTAATTTTCCAATTGTTTAAAATCAACCTCGTAGTATTCCGCTACTGTGTATTCAACAGCTAATCCGTCGTTTAAAAGCGTGTGATGTACAAAAAGTCGTAGCTCCACTGACGCCCCGTGTTTACCAACAGCTGTCAGTGTCGATGGCTGACACGTCACCTCATGTATACTGCGATCACGTACTTTTGGTAGTTGCAAATGTGCGTCATACAGTCAACCACACAGTTATTGGAAAAAGTTGTCAGATCAATCCGTTTGAGAGAGAAGATAATTATTTCAGGCAAAGGAACAATTTTTTTTTTAATTATAATTTTTCGTTTTATTATTACTTTATTGGAATACAAACTGTTAAATTATTCAAAATAAGATTACTAGTTCAGGAGACAGAGCGCACAAAATTTTTGTGAAAATGTTTTTTATTTGGTCAATAAGGGATTTTTAATTTTTTTATTTAATTTAATTCAAAATAAGATATTCCACGAATTTTATATTATAGTTTAGTAAAAATGGTCTTGATAAAATTTGTAAGATATAGATCGTAAACACTTAATAAAGTACCAACAAAACGCTATCGACGTATACATTATCGCGGTGTAACAACGATTACTCGGGGTCAGTCGCGGTAGATACAATTTTTTTCTCGATTCCTTTTTTTGGAAACCTCTTTCCGACCGCGGCTCGGTGCGGCCGACGCGGCGGGTGCGGCTGAAACTGTTTAATGATTTGAAAAACGTGTTCTATCAGCCTTTACGCGGAAACAACCGAAAAAAGCCTACAACAAAGGGTACCGAACGCAAATATAGACCGAACGAGTCACTCCGTCGCTTGTCAACACGAAAACATTCAACTTTGATCTCTAATCCCTTCAGTTACGAGTGTCGATATTAGTTTAAGAAG